TTGGCTCTTGGCCACAAAGAAGGTTTCCAGGACACGTTCCACCAAGGGCTGGGTGATGTCCCCCGTCTTGAAGTCACCCAAGAGAGAAACCAACTCGTTGACCGTCATCGTGGAGACCGGGTGCGGAGCGACGACTTGATGGGAGGAAACCACACAAAGGCATTCAGCAGCACAGTGGTGTTGGAGCCCGGCATGAACTCCCGCCATTGCACCACCATCCACCGGTACTGCCTTGGAAACTTCAGAGCCAACGGCGTCTGCTTCCGCGGGGTCCGCCATATCGGGGTCTTCCGCTCCCTTGCGCTTCCGTGGGCGAAGAGGAACTTCTGATGGTGCTCCCGGGGTGGGAGGCGTCACCGGGTCAACGTCCATGGGCAGCGAAGCCGGAGCCGCAGGTGTAGAAGAGGACGTGGTCGTGGTAGCCGGCGGTCCTACCTTGGGTGTTCCAGAGCCCACGGCGGCTGCACCCTCAGGAGGGGTCACTCGCAGCTGAGCCATAGCAGCGTCCATCTCCTGCATCTTGGCCTGGAGGGCGTCCTGAGTAAGGAGCTCACACTTGACATAGTGCGGTTCCTCCTGGGTAGCAGAGCTGGCGTCGGCCAGTGCCCTCCAAGATCGTCCCCTCCAGACGCCCAATCTCCTTCTCCCGTTCTTCCACCTCAGTGGGGTCCAGGGTGAACGAAGTCACTGTTGGAGCTTCATCCAACATCTCCCAATCGAAGATGCCTGAACCGGTACAGTAGCGGACATGGCTACAAAGAGTCAAAGAAAAATCACGGGAGTGAGCAGTTCCATTTTCAAGTACCCAGGCTTGAGCCAAAATGGCCAGGCATTTTGGCTAATGAAATGTATTCATGAAACAAAACCTGCTTTGCGCAGGCTCCAAGCACGTACTAAATATAGATGTTCCCATAAATGAAAGTCATGTAACATGTATACTGTATATAGCCAAAAACTAATGTTTAAAGAAGGCCTGATGGTGGCACCCCTTGATGCGTGCAAACACTGGTCAATGGAAATGTGAAAGGGAACTTCTTCGTTACAGACAAACAAATCCCGCATTGGAGGGAGAGTAGAGTCGTGTAGAGTAGAATGTTGACAGAGCAAACTCGAGCACGGCAGAGAATGTTGACCGTCTGTCTTTCATTTGTTGGGCAAGCGAGGAGTCGCTCCCTGAACGCTTGGGGCTTGGCTTGGGGCAGGGCTTGGACGGGGGCCGTCCGAAACCTGGTGACTAAAGGAATAATCAACCAGCAACCACAGAGGATTCATTAAGGGACTAGGGGACCAGGGACAATCAAGCATACCTGCACCAGGCACGCTGTTAATCACAGGAAGTCTGAAAAGTGATTGCTTTTGTTGATTCAGCAATTGTCTTTGTATTAATCTTTAATATTGGGCAAGCTTGCTATTGGAAAACAACTTTTGATACGTCATACGTCATGCGCGCGGATGGCTCGCATCCCCAAACCCCCACCTCATAGGCGATCCGTCTGGGAGAGCTTGGGTTGGAGACGAAACGCCCCAGGCATCCGCGGGCTTGCGGCGGCAAAATACCCTCCTGGCCAAGACAAACCCCCGCGGCGACAGTGGTGGGTGCTGTCCATTGGAGAGTCCCTCTTTCCTCGAATTGAGACTCAGTCAAACGTCTGTCCCACAGCGTGCAACTCTGCAACTCCCAGTCTTGCCAATTCTTGCCTCCTTCAGGCTGTCCCAATCCCCTTCTTTGTTGGCATTCGCGGCCATGTGCCCTGGGTCAAAGACGTTTGAAGGACGGCACTGGCGTCCACAAAACATGTCTCGTGGTAAGGATGTTTTTATTCTTTGGGATGCAGGTGCTGGAAGGTGGCAAATCATATTTTACATGACAAGCTGCGAGGCGTGACTCTTGCAATGATCTCTGCGGTTGGATTCTTGCTCCTCAGCTGGACATAGCAAGTAGAAAGTCATATCAAGCTTTTATGAGCTTTGGAATGCCAATTGATCCAATTGATGGTATGCAAATGCTCTTTTCAACAACTGTCACGGAGGTAAATTTTCGTGGCCAGCAGTAGTGGCACAGAGGGTTTCCGAGGCCCTGTGAGCCCAAAGGAATCACAATTTTTGCCTCTCCACCAGCCCCTCTCGTTCTTCATCCAAAGTCACCAGACCTCAAGGAGCTTGATGTCCTGGAGCACTGGTCTGTGAATCAAATCATGCCGACCGCCAACACCAACTGAATGATAAATATGACAAGCGCGGCTACGGAAATCTTCAATCGTAGCAGCGTCCGATGGAGCAATACGGAAATCACTGACAAAATCCGAATGCTTGGGCTTCTGTGCCATATGACATGTGCTTCATGGATGTACAAGCGCTCCTGCCCCGCAGCCAGAGTCAAGCCGCCCACACCGACTGTAGTGCCTGAGGCGAAATCCTTCAACGTGCCTTCTTCAAGGACACACAGGACACACCACACTTGACCACCCTCCAAAATGGTGCCAACACAACGATCACCCGGCTTAGCACGACTCTGTGGCCGACATGCACTTCCAGCACCGGCCTCGGCGTGCCATGGTCACCACCTGGGCCGCACTCATGCGCCGCCCCGCGGGGCCTCCGGGCGATCTCGGCGGCAGGAGCCCACCGAGCATGGCGCTGTTGCGCCGCCCGGTGCCCGCCACGCCGCCCGGGGGCGGCCAGGGCAAGACGCTGCGCTGGTTCTGCTTGCCTCAGGTCGTGCCGGGCTGGAGGAGGTTTTTCACACACAGGACGAGGGGCACAGCCACCAAGCCGAGTCCCAGCTTTGCGGCCAAGAGGCTCGAACTGCCCATCCCTAGGAGATTCCCGAAGGAAACGATCTTACCCGGAGGGGTGATCGAGCTGGTGGACGGTCTCTGGCTGCTACCTCCGCTGTTGTCCGCGAAGGAGGGTCTCGGGCTAGGGTTAGGCCCATCTGGCAGAGGCACTTCCTCAGCAAGGACACGTGGGCGAGAGAATCCTCCCCTGCTGCGACAGAACCCACCAACAACAAAGCAGCAAGAAACTGCCGCAAACAAAGAGCAGCCATGTGCTTCCTGCACTTGAGCTTGCACAGATCGCAGGAACTGGAGGCAAGGTTCTAAGGTGTTGATTTCCGGCACGCTCACCCGCAGGCTCGACCTGCGCGAAGATGCGCGAAGGGCTCCTACGTCCTACATTCTCCGGTGCATGGAGCAAAGACCAACCTCTCTCGGCTTTTTCGGTGTCTCGTCCCGCCTTCCGGGTCTCTCAGGTGTGGAGGCGGAGGCCAAGGAGGTCTGTGAATGCCGCGAGCTTCGAGAGTTGCGGTTGGGCTTCTTCAGCGCACTCACCAGCTCTTTGCCACTGTCTTGACTGGTCGAGCCTGCCCGGGCGACGACAACGGCGGCCACATCGGCGGCAGGTGACCATTAAGTTCTGAATTGGGTCTGACAAACAATAAAGCGAGTTGGTCGCCAGCCTTGCTTCTGAGAGTGACGCTCACTGCCTCCTGACCCTGCTGGCTTCACATAAATCAGCCTCAGATGGCCACATCACATTCTCCTAGCTGCCTAACCGCTCTTACCTCTGCACGGCAGCATAGTCCTCGATTCGACTTCTAGACTTGGAGCTGCCAAGTGCTTGATCACCAGCCAAACCAGTCCGAACATCCAGCAGAATCCTCCACCCTTCGAACCATCCAGCCCCAGTACCTTCCAAGGAGCCCAGCGTCCTCGCCGCTGTCTGATGTGCCCCACTTTGAGGCCACGCCGGGAAGGGTGAGGGGCGCCGGCCGCGAGGACGAGGCGTTCGGAGAGGTGGACTCTACAAGCAAATCTCCACCGAGAGATTCCACCTGTTTTTCCAAGTCCTGCGGAGTTTCGGCTCGGCGATTCAGCACGCGGGGGGGGGGGGCGATAGACAGATGGAGGAAGCCATGAGATGAATGGTCTGAAAGGGTGGTTGGGATCATTGGGGTGGTCATGCCCCGTGTCCTCCACCCTCCTCTCGAGCCTGCAATTCTCCTCACAGGGATAGGGCATCAAACAGCCAAACAGCCAACAAACAGCAATCAACAAATGCAAAAGATCGATATGCAACTTGATACTCCAGCGCAGTGTATGTCAGCACCAGCCTCTTTCAGCTTTGCCTTGGAGACACGTTCATTAGCAGGTCAGTGCAGTGTAACTGAAACCTCTATGAGCTCCATCCAGCATTAAGCTCAAAAGCTCTAACCCAGTTGTGAAGACTGCCAAGGCAGGCTGCTATTGCAAGATAAGAAAACACCCTAAAAAGTGAAAGGTTCGGTTTGCCAAGTTGATCCAAGTGGCCCCAGCACTCCACACTTCTCGATCATGTGCTTCGGTCAGCTTGCCAATGAGCTCCCGGAACTCCATGGTGCCACAGCCCCCGCGCCACGTGGCGCGGCCGAGGCGTGGCCGCGGCCACGGCGGAAAACTGTCCCACCGGTGACGGCTCGACCCGGGGCCACAGAGTCCTAACGGTCCAAGCTTATTTGTCTATGTGCATCGTGATGTCCATGATGTCCCGCATAGGCCGCATTTCTGATACATGATGCTCTTCCAGAACCAATGGGAGTGGTGTCTGGTTGCAAACAAAAACCCTCCTCCGTGCCAAGTTGCGATGGTTTTGCCCAATGGCTGCGTGTGCCAAAAACAACGCTTGGCTTCCCAAAGCCGCTCTGCCAAGACTTGGGCAAGAAAACTGCAGAGGGGGACGATGGCTTTCAGAATGCCAAGGCGTTCTGCATTCAACTCTTGGGGACAACTCCAAGCAAACCTGCGAAACTCATGTTGCAACCTCGCACCTTGTTCCGGAGGCTCAGAGGTGCTCCAGTGTCCCCAATGAGGAAAACGGTTCAGAGCTGATGGTTCAACTAGAAGCTGTCCAGCTCACACATCTGTCCATGGATCATCAAGAAGTGGTCTGAATCAGCCAACATGAGCAGCCATGCTCCAAGATTCTCATGGCTATGAGGTCACCTCTGCACGCCAAGCAGCAATCGCCAGGCATGGGGTGCATGCGCGCTGAAGGTCTTTGCTATAGCCCGGTACCGTGATCATGTTGGGCGAGCACGGCCCCTAAGCTGATTGGGGACTTTCTGACCACTCAAATGGGTGCAAAAACACAGCTGGCACCCACGAGTGCCCGCTACGTAGTACCTGCCCCGTACGCGCTAAACGCAGCGGTGCTGCAGTTTTAGTGCGCCAAGCCACGCATACACATCGCCCACAAATACGGCAGTGGTGGCGTAAACGCAACCGCCCTGAGCACAAGTTGAAGCTCTTTCCGCCACATCAACAACCTGCCCACTCTACTTATGGGTTTCCATTGGGCACCCCAAGCGAAAGGTGCCGGCAGGGCCCACGAACTGCCTAAAAAATGCTCCTGGGGCCCTGACTTCGCCCCAGAAGGACATGGCAAATCGAGCAGCTCTCAGAGTCTTCGTCCCAGCCTGAGTCGACTGCGCTGGAAGCGAACCACATGAGCATCCCAACACGCGGGGATCTGAGACATGGAATCTCCCAAATCCCTCCACCTCTTATGGAAGCCCCCAACACAAACACACATCAAACATAGACACCAAGATAAAGTGACAGAAGCTTTGGAAGGCAAGGTTGTGAGCTGTGAGCCTTTGTGTTCACCCGTTTGGGTGTAGTGATCATTTACTGTATGTCTCGCTCTCTTTCTCTCTCTCTCTCTCTCTCTCTGTGGATGAAACCAGAAATGCACCTATGTCTGCGATTGGGCCCGATTGCACGTAAACGCGCGCACGCAACGCTGCTTTGCCCCAGAAGTAAAGTTTCACGTGCATTTTTATGGTATGGCTTTGTGTAACCCACCCCGTATGGTAGGTCGACATCACAAAATTGTCATCGACAATGTTATTGTCATCGGCATCACAACATTGTCATCAACATTGTCATCGACATCACATTGGGCAAAGGCCCCTCGGTATCATCAGTGGGCAACGCCCTCCACGCCGCCCCACGGAGAACCCCACTCTGGAGTTTCTTGGGCTTGTGTTGCTGTTGCAATTGCAAGGCTGCGCGCTCCCGCACATGAGCCTGGCCTTCGCAATTCAACAGGGAGTGGCGCAAGTCTGGTCTTGGGATCCGTTTAAGTTGGATGAACACATGCAGGTGGAGATTTCGGGTGTACAAACAGAGTTGCGCCAACAAACTTGGATTCCGACCGGAAGACTTCTTGGACATTGCAGTGGACAAAGACTGGCTGCATAGCTGAAGCCATAGTGTGCGTGGGAGAAAATGGGCATAAGGGGTCCGTTTTCAAGGGGATTTCGATGGTCGTCGGCACACGTTTACGACCGCGTTGTTTTTTGCAGGTCCAGCCCAGCGGTTGTCTACACATGTAATGCCATACTTGCCGGCTCCTGTGCCTTAGCCAATGTGCTACGTTGCGCAATCCTTTTCCAAGGTTGAATCTATATGATAGAAACGGATCCCCTAAACCAAACATAGTTTCCCCAAGCATACAAATGAACAGAACAGAACTAGCACCTTTGTTGTGCAGCAACCCTGCTTCCTACACATGCCTGTTTGGCGCTTCTATTGCGCGAGATCAAGCATCTGGGGTGCTGCGACCCACGCAAAGCACCAACCTCTCAAAGTTTATGACAAGGACTTCGCTCAAAACCGCTTCAACTTATGAGAGCCATCTTTCTGCACAGTTCCTTTGAAATAAAACATATTTACTTGGCACGCTTTTTACTGAAATCCATTTGCTGTGCCCACATGATGTATTCTACCATTCTACCTAACTTTGCACTGCCAAATTTGTCTATCTAGCATGGTTTAACCTTATCATTTCATTTGCACCCCAAGCCCGGTGTGCAGTCTCATGTGGGACAACGGCCCACCCAAAAATCAATGGAATCTGCGCACGGATGCCTCATGTTGAAGGAACCGGCAAAAGAGAGTTCGCAAGACATTTAACAAAAATCGTTTGTCTCCAACTCTAAGTCCAGCAAGGCAAGGGGTGAAAAATAGATGCTTATGACAAATAGGAATAATTGGAACAAAGAGGGTTTGCAAGTTTTGAGGAACCCCCACTGTGTATGCATGGACTGGACACACGTGCCATTGACGTAGTTGGGCATGTTCAATTGGTAAGCGATGTCAGAACTTGATGCGACACGACTTTGATAACCTGGTTCAGCCTCTTCCTCCAAAGCAGGCAAAGACACCCCACCCTCCTTTCAATTTCTCCCGCAACGGTTTCCAGCCGAGCTGCGCTCGCAGCATGGCACAGCTCCGTAGGCTGTATCCTCGACTACTGAGCTCGTCTCTGAGCGGACGCCCAAGCAGGGAGGTGAGCTGGCCTAGGCAGACATACACTCTGGCTCCCTCGGCCCAGGCAAAAGATTCAAAGAAAAGATTGGTGATGCTCACTGAGGCACTTGAACCAAACAGGACTACGAATGATGCTGCTGCTGCTGCTGCTGCCGCTGCTGCTGCTGCTGCTAACCTATGTTGTCCTATCGCGGAGGTTGTTCGCACCTGGCCAATGGCAATACCCGGATGTGGGTGAAACTTTGAGCATATTACAGTAAAATGTTCCTTGTATGTGTGTTTCCTAGTTTTGTTTCGTTTCGTGTGGGTTTCCCCCACAGCTTTCGTAAGATGGTTTGGGGGCTCACTGTTCACTTTCTGTCGGAAAGCTTGGACTTGGTCTGCGCTCTGCCCCTCATACCTTTGAAGGTGTGAAGATCTACAGCAGCAGCCATTTCGCCCTTCAAGCAATCAATGTAACCGGAAGCAAGGATTCTTTCATGGGAAGCGATGCACCGATGAGGCCTGCCAGTTCCTCCAAAATCGTTAAAGGCCTGCCACTGCCTGTCAGGCCTGCTTAAAGGCCCAAGCTTTTATAGGGCGATTATTTATTCAATTTTATTAATCGTTTGAGTCTACATTAGACCTATACACGTGTTACACGTGAGGCATTTTCGGACTTCCCCGCACTTCCGCCCTCTGACACTGTCCAAAACACCCACCACACACAACTGATGCCGCCCAGCATCGACTGAGCCAAAGCGCCTGGCAATCTCATGAAGATCGCTGGGGCGATCCCCCCCCAAAAAAAAAAGAGAAACTGAATGCTGAGTCGCAGGCGCGTTGGGTTTTGCGGGAATCTGGTCTTGGGTGGCTGGATTATCCGATTAATCCGATTAACCCTTAAGGTCTCACAAGCTTCACATTGGGTTCTAGCTTTCCAGTCGGTCTTCCAAGAACTCTTGCGAATCCAGGCCTGGCCAGGTGGGTGTCCCCCTCTGCCATGTCCAACTCCTGGGGCGAAGGAGGCCCTCGACCTGGATGTCTTTGGCCTCACAGACCTGAACTACCAGTATCAAATGTTGAAAGAGGCCTACTGCGGCGCCAAACCCCCGAGGGTGTCCGACCTTCGCCGGCAACGCTCCGTGGAGAGAGCCTCTGACCGCGCCGAGCCTCACCCACGGCGTCCGACCGCCCTGCCCCGCTTTGAGCCAGTCCGACGGGTCCGGCGTCCGACGGGTCCGGTCGGCCAGTCAACTCCCGCGAGCCGACTTGAATGAACGGGTGAAACCCAAAAAAGTCAAAAAGAATGCAAAAGAGGTGAAGATGGAAGTCAAAAGCAAACAAGATTGAAGCAATAACGGATCCTGAAGTTCTAAATTCAAAAGTTGCTGGCATGTGTTCTCTGATGATGTTTCAATCATGTTCAATTTCGATGGAGAACCTTGGTGGTTTTCTATCTCCTGCCTCTGCAGGTCTTTGCTCTAGGTCTCTAGGCGTCAGCAAGTAGGATCGGTACATTCACAGGTACGCTGCATCTCTGGCCGCAAAGCCAGCACCACCAGGCCGGTCAGCGGGACGGCCTTTGAGAGGGCCTTCCGAGCAGCTGCACATGGCCTTAGACCCACGACAGTCACAGCACCTGCATGGACTTCGTGATCTGCACACCGGCACCGGCGATGGAACTGCTTGAAAATGTTTTAACACTTCGACCACTCGGGGCGGAGAATGGTCCAATGGTGGTGTTCAGAAGGTCCGATCCCAGACGTAGACGAAGACACGTCACTCTTGAGAAGGATCCGTCAACACGCCTTTTTTTAACCCGCTCCTCTCCTCCTAAATTAAGTAAGGGACTAGTAAGCTACTAGACTAAGTTAGCTTGTAGGTAGGGCGCAGGATAGCTCACGCACTATTCATTTGGTTCCCAGGGAAACTTCGTTCCTCATCTGTGTCACGAAGACTTCAGGTCCGTTCCTTTCCGAGCTAAGATCACGGACCACACCCATTGGCGGCCAGTGTCCTCACAGTGCCGGACGGTGCCACGCGCGGGTCGCGCTAGGAAAAGAACGTGCAGTCCGGAAGTGCTGAGAAGCACCATGGTTTGGTGCGAGTTGAGCTTCACTAGCTTTGATCCTAAAAAACCAAGTTATCACTAATCATCACTTATCCGACGTATCCAGTAATCCATGTCTAGATCCACGTCTCAACCAACTTCCGCGCACGGGAGCTGCAAAAGCTCCGCTTTTCCACTTGCTGTGGTCTTCGCCAGAACAGCTGTCCCGAGCCAGCGCCCCCCATCTGTCGAATCTGTAGGCCTGTCCCTCGGAAATGAGCCATTGCCGTGTGACTAAGGTGCTGGATCTGACCCATCTGTACACCTGAAAACCGTGGATGTGAGGCCATGAAACTGTCAGACCCAGCGGCTTCTGTACGACCTCCTTCAAATGAGGCCCAAAAAAGACCACTACAGGCAGCTACTGCTTTAAACTTACCACCTGCAGCAGACGAACAGCCTGAAACAGGTTCGGGCTGCCTCTAAAACTGGGAACGTCTCTGTTGAAACAGCACGTCCTGCCGAACGTTGAAATCTCAGATCAAACTTCAAGGCGTTAATGCCAGAGGGACTGTGGGAGGCTCCCAATGCGCCGCCAGCGGCTTCCTCAGTGAAACAAGCTTCAAGCTTGATTGGGGCATGCTGGAAACAAGAAATCCAAACCCTTCAAGGCGGGGGTGTACTGTATGCTGTATGTGTATGTGCATATATTTATGTATAGTCATAGTCATTACAAAGGATGTATATAGCTATTTACTGTAGTTCTCCATCCTGCTGTTCTGTAGATGTGTGCACCAATGACCCAACTTTTCTGACCGTCCCCAATGCCTTGTCACGGGTCCGGTGGGTCATAGACCCTCCTGCCCGGCCAGGTCGAGTCAAAGACCTCCATTCGGCCGAGTCATTCGGCGTCCAAGCTGCGGATTCAAGAGATCTGTGAGGATGGCATTCCTGCGTTGAACCTGCGCAGGAATAAGTCACCAGTGAAGCAAGGAAGGCGACACGTCGATCGGTCAAACCCGACGGAAGCCACGGCTGTAAGTGAAGACTTGGTCTTTGGGGTGCCCCCTCGTAACCTTAGGAGCAAGAAGCTACTAGGAGCAAAGCGCCTCGCTACTAGGAGCAAGGACGCTACTAGGGGCTCCTGGCCTTACTACTAGGAGCAAGAAGCTACTAGTATGGGGATAAAGCCAAGTGGGAAATGAGGAACCACAAGGCCATAAGGACGGACCTTGAGGGCGGACCAGTCTGTACAGGCTGCCGACCGCGTGCTTTTTCTGCGCACGTCTGTACAGGTTCGGTGCCAGCTTGAGGATGAACCTCACCCCAAGCTACTCTTTTCAACGTGAAACGACGGCCTCTCTTCAAGAAGCTGCCTCTTCAACGAGAAATCCAGCGAACAACTCCAGCAATTGCAACCACATCACACCAGCCCGCTCACAACACTTCAAGTCATGGGCAATGGTCACAAGCATGAAGACCACGGAGGCGCGGATGCTTGGACGGATGGTCCTAGCTTCATGGAAGCCTGGACGAAGTTCCTGCTCCTTTGGAGCAACGAAAATCTATTTGAGGATCTCTCAAAATTGCAAGAAAGGTGGCCGGGAACATCCTGTCCCAGCGACCCCTTACAGGAACCAGAGGTGGGGAAGGCTTCTCCCAAAGGGCCCAAAGCTAACAAAGCCAATTCTGAGGCGCCGAAAGCCCGGAGACGTGGGCCACTGGGTGCGCTCACCGATCTGGAGACCCTGGTAGGTCCGGTGCCTGGACAAGCGGGTGCCGCAAAATCCATGTCTTCCCATGGACTATGGACGGCTCCGACATCGCACGAATGCACAGGAAAATGCACCACATTGAATTCATCGAAGAACATCCCGCACATGGACCAAATGCATCCCAATGCACCAGCTTCATCCCTTGATTCATCCCCTTTCACGCCTTCTGCACCACTAGCCTTGGCACTATCCTTGGCGCTGATGCCATCGGCGAAGACTTGCGAAAGCCGATGGCGCTGTCTCGCAGACTCGGTCGCGACAGGTGTGCGCCGACATGGAGGAATGCCCATGTGACCATCGACTCGTGTAGTAGTGACTAGATGTTTCTAGTTACCCAAAAACGGCCAACTCAGCTAGCAACTAAGCATGTTATATCATGGTATCAGTTGAATTCATTTATGTAAAAAGGAGTTTTCGGACTGATCATGACTGATCCTTCTGCCGCTGAGGTGCACTTCAAGACTCTCACCGGAAAAGCTCTTTTCCACGCCCGACTGATCGTCATTCTCGTCGCCCATGCTCTCAACATCCATGGACTCCTGAAAGATTTCGCGTTCCCCAGGTTGGAAGAAAGGACCCCATTTTGACCCGGGCCTTTTGAGGCGAGCAAGCTTCCCCTTAAACAGCCCATTCTTATCCGCTCTTGCTGCCTTGTCCCCCACCTACCGGGCCCGGAGGCTCCGGCCTGGACCTCCGTCGTCGACGCCCGGAGGATGGATTGCGGCGCGGCCGCGGGGACCGCACCAGGGCCAGCGGCGGGCGGGGCGGACCCGGCGCCCGCTTCGCCCGGCTCGCGCGCGCAGCCCAACTTCTGCATGACCTCGGCGAGCCTCAGTGCGGTGCGAAGAGTGCGCACCACCCGGGTGGCCACCAGAGATATAGATGGAGTTAAGCAATGAAATTGGATTGGTGCAGATGTTGGTGATGTCGCCTAGATTTGGGACGCTGGGGTTGGTTGGTCCACAAGTCATTTTCTGACATATTGAACACCAAGCACTTGCTTAAAGACTGCGTTCCGCAGCATCTCAAATGAGCCAGGATTGTGCACCGTGAGCCTCAACTACTGTTCATCTCCGATGTCTCGGATATCCTTTGCAAATGTGGCATGTCACTGTTTGGCATCACTTCCCCCAAGGTTCCCGCCCCCCTTGTCGTCACCATTGATGTCACCATCTGGGCATCGGGCATCGACATGTTCCTCTTCAGGAGAGCTGTATGTAGGTCAACTGCTTGCCTTAACACGGTCCGACTTGCTCGTGACCATGACCAGGTCAAATGCCCAAACGCCCGCTTCTGGGGGCCTTTGTGCGGAAGTTGGCCCAATTGCAGCTGGAGAACATACAACACGCCCAAAATTGCTTGACAAACAAACCCTGAGCAGACATACTTAAGGCCAAGTCATTGAGAACCTGTCAAATGACAGATTGGGGAGGACTCATTCCCCTGGCAAAGCCCCATTGGCTCTTCATTCATGTTCTTGAGGATTTGTTTATCGATCTTTTATGCCCCCAATTGGTGCTGTTGCGCTTGCTAGGCTCATTTCGTTGAGCCCGCCACCACCTTGGCACCCTTACAAGGCCTCAGTCACACTCCTCCATGGCAATGCTCACAGCGTCGTATCACCGCCTTCCCGACCAAGAGTTGCGGCATAGGACGTCAGGTGAGAACGCATGTAGGACCAGGAACCGGCCAGCCCATTGCCATCTCCAAGTTGCTCCACTTTGGTCACCCGTTTTGAAATGGAGGTGACGCCCAGCTGCATGGTCTTCATATCCTCACGGCGCGCGGTGACGCGCATATCAATGAAAGGCAGTGCCATTTGATCGCCAATGCCAAGGTGCCAATTGCGTGGGAGGCCCCTTCACTCTCAAAACACCTGCCAAGTTCGAAGAGCCAGGCACGCCAATGCCCGCCCATGATCATCTACTAGGCTTAGTATATACAGTACACCTTTTGCAGATCCACTAGCACGCCTACAAAACGGTGGAACGACTTGGGGGGCCGTTGCTTGGGAGCCCGCCCTCTTAGACGTCCCCTGGACCGTCCATGGTGTCTCAGTGTTTCGCTCCACGACGGGACGCTCCGGCCTTGTGCAAAGGTGGGGAAGCTCAGCGAGTCGTTCCCCTGGGACGGCACGGTCGGCACAGGCGGACCCGGGTTTCCCCCCCCCCCCGCGGTTCGGCGCGCATGGCGCATGAACACGTCGCCACATTGGGCCACTTTGGTCCACTTCGCCAGTGAAGTAAAAAGTGTATCTTTATGAAGCATGCAGCACGTCCAGATGGTAGATCAAAGAGATTTGGACCTTTAGACGGATCGAATCCTGATTAGAAATGGTGATTCGATTTCTGCAGCATCACCCACACATCAAGCGCTCGGCACTGGCACGGGACACACATGCCTGTGGGTCTAGGATTTCAAACAGCGCCCCTGGATCGTCGATGGGTATCTCCATGCCTCGAATCCCAGTGACACCTGGACCTACCTCTTCAGAGGATTTGCATAGGTTTGCCCTACAGTGTGCGATGCCCCAAACTACAATAGCCACACAGGATTAGAAAAGATATGCAGCATAATTACACCATACAAATCTGTCAGACACCCCAAAGACTGCTGATGTCTCCTTCAATCTGCGCGGCCTCATTCCGTCATGTTAAGCCAAGTGGCGCGTGAGTGTCGCCTGCACTACGGGGTCGTTCAAAATATCGATGAACTCGGTCTTCTCCAATGTTCCACTGCCATCCTCGGATATTTATGTGCTGTGCTGTGCAGGTTGGGTGGCCAGCGTAGAAAGAACCAGAGAAAAAGGGTTGAATTGCAAGATCTGGACCCTTCGTTCATTATTGCCGTGCTTGCGAGATCTGGTAACTACCCAAGGTTCCGCATCCGCCTCCTCAAAAAGCCTCCGGATGCTTTCAAGCTCCTGACCAACAACCCACTGCCGCTACAACATGCTACAACCCTCTTCCTGTGCATCATCTTCTTTTGTGCCACACCCGGGCCTGGCGCAGTTGCCGTTGCATCCGCCGCTCCTTCAACGGTGCCCACGGGAGCGGGTCGAGTGACTATGCTGGAGCAGACCGATCGGTTGAACAAAGTCGCCCGGCTTTCGGCCTGCAACTCTTGATTCTGCTTTGCCGCATTGAGGGTGTTCTCCACAATGACACCTGTCGGTCTGGAGTCATCTTTGAGGTGTGTTTTTTCTTGTCATGATGACACCGGCTTTGGCCAGGCCTACAATGATGTTGAGGATGCCAAAGGTGGTCAGAAAAAGGAAGAGCCTCACCGGGGCGAGCATGCGAAACATCCGATCCCACGGGTCGTGCTGTTTCGACTCCCTGCAGCCCAGCCACAGGAAGAAAATTAAAAAGGCCGGCTGTTTCCGGACAATTGGGCGGGCAAAGACCTGCACGATAGACGGAGACGGTCTGTAGCAAAGGCTCACAGAAAGCAGAAGAGCCTTGCCTGACTCCAAGACTCCAGCCTCAGCACGGCTTTTCTTCGAAGCGACGATCGCAACTCCAGACAGGGAACCTCGAACATGGAAGGCACCTAACTCCAGTAGATACCGTCTACACCAGCTGGAAACACCCAGGAAACATGGACCACTTGCAGAGTGAGGTGAGCCAATTAATTCACCCCGACACCATCCCAATGCAAGGCACGTGATGACTTGAAACATCGTGTACATCCTCAGCAAGGCACACAAAACTCTCCGCCTATAGAAACCTAATCTAGCAGTGAGTGGCACACGCATCAAACAAACAGGCTCCACGCGACTGTTTGGGACGTGTAGCGTGCTGGCCAAGAAAGTGTTGGGCCCAATCAAATTCAGTCAGTCGTTTTGGTCTCAACCGAGCATCGCTGCAGGCATGCTTCCAAAATATTCTTCACACTCCTGGGTCCAACCGGGTGCGATGACGAGACACGTGTCGGACTCTCGACGGCAAGTCTTAGGCAAAGTGAGGCCAAGTGATGGCAAGTGGCATTCCAGTCTTCGAACTGGCTGGAGAGGCAATTCAAGGTGTATCGAAGGAAGATCGCAAACCTCAAGGGAGCCGTGTTCATGAAACCTGGAAAATACATTGAGAGTCTTTCGGATGGTTGGCTCATCATCGCCAGTTGGTGGCTGTAAAAAAATGTTTTGACAGAGTCGTTGTGCCAATGTAAGTCGACCCCAGGTCTAC